ATCAAACTGCTTCTTCACACCTAGAAGCGACGCACCGTCGAAGTGCCGAACAGGCGGCGGGCAGATCACATCTAGCCGGCCGAAAGAGCGAGGCGGCGCAACGACCCCGAGAGTCACGTAATGTAGGTAGCCTTCTCCCCGCAGAAGGTCTAACCGTGCTCAAAGTCGCGAGGGATATTAGAATGCAACTGTCAGCCCCTTGACTCTACCATTCTGTTTGTCTTTGTGATCCATCGCTGTCCTCTTTTTACAATTCCAAATTCAAGCTCTTTTCCACACGCACAAAGATGGCTGTATCAGAGAACAACGCAACCAAGACCGTTGCTTTGGCTGGGGTGAGTCATAACATGCTTTGATCAACGACGATCACTTCAATCCCAGAGCAATCAACTGATTCGAAGAGCGTGTTCGATCAGGCGAGCGGTAACTTGGGTCTCCGTCTCCTAGAATCCCTGCTCGATGCAGAGTTCGATGTGACAGTCTTAATTCGCCGCGAAAGCACCCCGATTGATTACCCTGTCAAAGCCCGAGTGGTAGAAGTCGACTATGATTCGTCCGAGTCACTTCAGAATGCTCTTGGGGGCACCGACGCTGTAGTTTCTGCAGTCGGCAAGCAGAATGGATTACAGAGCCAGTTCAAACTCATCGATGCTGCGATCGCCGCTGGGGTAAAACGATTCATCCCGTCGGAGTTCGGTGCGGATCTCCAGAACCCTAAGATTCGTGCCTTTCCGACCTACCGAACTAAGGTAGAGGTTGAAGATTACCTGGAGAAGGAAGTCCGGGACACTGGCTTGACTTACACCTACGTCTACAACAGCGTTTTGTTTGACGAAGGCCTGTCACTCGGGGCATTTGCGAACTTCTCGACCCGGACAGTGAACATCTTCGATGGCGGGGACACAACATTTTCTGCAACGAGAATCAAGACAGTCGCGCAGGCTGTTGCTGCTATCCTCAAGAACCTGGACGCAACTAAGAACAAGGCCGTTCGTATCCGAGACCTCGCGATGACCCCAAAGCAGCTACTAGAAACTCTCAAAGCATTGGATCAAGATCACGCTTGGAAGGCGGTTGCAGTCAACACCGAATCGCTTGTCAAGAACGCCGAACATGAGCTAGCATCGGGCAAGTTCAGCCCAAAGGCATTCGCAGCATTTGCATTGAGAGCGACCTTTGCTCCAGAGCATGCACAGGATTATAGTCGCGACAACGAGCTCTTGGGTATAATCCACATGACGAAGGAAGATATTCAAGGGGTATTGGCTGCAAGACTGTGCTGATCTCGCATCTCTGGGCTCTGGAAAATTCTAGATATCTTAGTTAGAATTGACATCTTGAGACGCGATATTTCCATGACCGCGAGGAGGCTCACTTGATACTCTAAGTATGACTAAAATACAATTGGCCGTCTGCATTGGTGAAATCGCACATATCGTCCATCTCCAAGAGGGGCCCTATCATCTCGTCTGCATTGTACATCGCTGTGTCGAATTCTCGCTCAGCGCTTCGGGGCATAGAAACTACACCCGACTGAGCATTGTCGCTTTGAACAAGATTCGTGCTGGCATATGGTCTTGCAATGCCCTTGGACGAGAACCGACCTCCCAATATCGGACGTTTCGCAGCAGAGGATGCTGACGATGAGCGCCGATCTGATAAAAATGATTTCCGGCGACCCAACTCCTTCTTTCTCCGTCTTCTCGCCTTGTCAATACTTCTCATTACTGAGCGCCACTGGTGTACCCGACTATGCCTCGTCGATGAGTCCCAACGAAGAACAGCACTTTGCTCCACAACTCGCCATGCCTTGTCGGCATCCCTACCCAAAGGCTGGTTGCACAGCTCTGAAAGAACAACCGCAAAAGCGTGCCACTCATTGTAGCACTTTGTAAGCCATGACCACTGCGCTACTTGCGGATCAGTTCGGAGACGGTACGAATGCGCCATACAGTCGATGGCGTTCTGGAAAGCGCGCCTCTTTTGCTCGTCGGTGAGGGAAACACCAGATGATAATGGGTTGAGGACCATAAGGCGTAGATTTGCGACAATGGTGCCGACAAAGGAAGTCGTAAGCTTGAGCAAATGCGACGTCAGAGTTTGAATGTCATGTCTGAAGTTTGGATGCCTTAGTTGTGTGCAACTTACACAGTGTAAAGAGCCATGAGATGGTTGACTCTCGGATATCTTGCTGGCCATATTTTCTCGCTGTCTCTCAACCCAGGCCTCCTTGTCGGCTATCGTCATTGAGACAAAGTTCATTCCGGATGTTGGGTCGATTCTCCGAGTGTCAATTATCGTACGCCAGATATCTGATGCCCAGCAACGGGCAGCAGTGAAGGACATGGTCGTGATTCCCTTAGACTCGGAGGGGTACTCTGTCATACCCGGGTATAGGTCCTCATCATTCACATTGATTGGGGGTCTTGAATCGAAGCTACTCAACTCTAGACTAATGACAAACGTGATTAGTCTCGATGCAAGCGTTTAATGGGTATGAACAACTTACAGGCCAGATGAACACGAGTAGTCTTCGGACGCTGGCGTATCTAGAATGCAGATATTCCACCACAATCGTCGACGCATCTCAGCTTCGAAAGGGGGGAGATTGAACGTGCTCCCATCTCGATGCATGCCTAGGGACTGAGCAAGCCGCACAGCTAGTCCTGTCATGCTCCATGAATACGTAGGGTCTCGGCACCGTAACGTAATGAGGTAAACCACAAAAGCTTGCAGTGTGAGCATGTCATCCGTTACCATCAACCTCGCACGAGCAAACGCAGCGTCAGCACCTCGCCTAAATTTCCCCAACAAATCACATTGAGCTGATCCGAAACGCGCCTCGCATTCATCATCGGACAGACTGTTTACTGCACCAACATAGATGACAAACAAGAGGGCCTCCAAGGGGGCTGTAAGATTTTGTGGGTTTTGCATTGCTTCGAGGACGGCCAGTTCAACTGAGGGTATGTGCAGGACGGTAGCAACAGGGTGTACGTTGGTGTTGTACAGCTGCCATGCTTCTAGTCTCTGATTGCGAGGAGGATGCAGGGAGTAAGTGTCGGTTTCTTGGGTGCCGCCAGTAGATAGCAAGGAATACTGCAAAAGTTCTGACCGAGACGATGATGTCTGCTCTTCGAACTCGGAATCGTCCTCGCTGATCACGCCATCTTCCAGGTCATTCTATCGATAAACAGTCAGCATATCACGAGAGAATCACCAACTGCCTTCTCTAAGGTAGATTGACGTACCTCGGTATGCAAAGCTTCCCAAAATGTTCCACTGACGTATCTTTCACGACCGTCATCCCTAACGAGCTTCCCGGTCGAGGTCCCGTATGGTGACCAAGAGTTGACCGAATCGCCTTGAGCACTGTCACAGTCAACGTTGGGAATCTCGATGTTCGACGCGTCACCGTCTGTGGAATCAAGAATCCCCGCCGGAGATTTCGGGCCGAGAGAGATCGCGGCCTGTTCCACCTGCATAGTGCTGAAATTGATCGCGACGCTCTCTTTCCTCGTGTCTCTACATGCGCTTGTCGAAGAGCCGATTGAATTCGGGGGGGTTGGTGGTGAAGGTGAGGCAGAATCATTATTGAATTCTGGTAGTTGCGTTTGAGGGAGTGTTGATATTGACTCTGGACGGGAGCTTGACCCTATGATGGGGGCAGAGGATCCTGGAATATTGCCTTGTTGCATACATTCTGCCAGGGTCTTGAACATCGGCTCCAGACGGTGAAGCTGCTCCCACAGCTGATTATCAGTGAGAAACTGCCGCGCAGCCGAGCTTCCTTCAGGCGGATAGACACAGTCTGTTCCAGACTTCTCGCAGTGATGACACGGTTGTTTCTTGTCGCAACCGACCTTCCGGCGACGGCATGCTGTGCAGACGCGGCGTGGGAGGGGCTGGTTTCGAGATGTCTTGCTTTGTTGGTTGGATTGAAGAGGCTGCTGCTGCTGCTGTTGTTGCTGTCCTTGCTGGTGCCGGTCTTCTGTGTTGGAGGGATTCCATGCAGCGACAATGGAGTCCGCAATTGCTTGATTGCCGGGCGAGGCTTGCGATCGAGCCTTCGCCGGGGTTTCAAGCACTCCAGGCCCCATAATCTTACACAAGCGGACTCTACGGTCTGAACACCCGAGAGGCCGAAAAGATAAGCCGAGTTTTTGCTTCGTCCTTGGATCTATAAGGACAGTACGCCTAACGTGAACGTCGCTTGCTCATGAGTTGTCTATATCGTGAAGATGAGTTGCTTCATGTGTACCGCGTTGCATCACGCGTGATTGCGGACAGAATGAGGATTTCGAAGGAAAGACTTGCTTTGCAAAACAAGCAGAAGATAACGAACGCTGGAGTAATAAATTACATGGAGATAAGGTGATGGAAAAGGGAGGGATCACGAGGGAGATTCATCATCACCAAGCCATGTTGGGACGAGGCGCACGGAGGGAACATGGTGTAGGCCGAGAGATAAGGCCTAGACAGGGGGGGCGAAGTGCGGGGAGAAGCACCTACACACGAATCACAATGGACACAATTACCAACCCAAGACGTGTTTGTAAGAGCGCAGCAGCTGAAGCGGCACTGCGTTACCTTTTCTCTACCTTTCTTGTTCACGGCACATGGGACCGTGGCATAGATCAACGCCATGGCGGACTAGGGCTCTTAGATGATAAAGTGTTTGGCGGGGAACCCGTCCGGCAGTCCACTCCTGCGCACTACGTTGGCCCCTGATGATAGCGCTGTGGGGTTGTAGCCGTGTTTGGGAATGTGGATATGATTAGTAGAGAAGTAAACCGCAGTACTCCGTAGTAGCTCGGCCGATCCCTCCGGTCCAGCTCTCCGTTCTAACCCCAGTCGGCGTTTCAGAGAGCGAAGTATTCCAGAGCGAACGAGAACTTGAACCGACGTCAGCATATTCTGTATAAGTTGAGGTGGTCCCTAAATCAATCAATCAATATTGCTCCATGTTAAGTTAGAGAGATATTTACACAGGCGACAACATGGCAGCAATGGAGACATCATCGAACCAGCAGATAGGAAACTCGGAGTGGCTCATTCACGTCCCAGACTTCCCGGAGGCCAAAGACCGAAGGGCTGCGGTGTTCCCGTATGTCTCAGCCCAGACTCAGAGGGCAGATTATGAATTGACATCCCGACGCGAAACAGACAACACATTGAGCGGATGAAAACAGATCCCCAAGGCTTTTGGGTGTTTGGAGGTGGGATATCCGCTGCCCCGTGGCCGTCGTTCATCAATGCCGTCCAAATCCAAGTTTAGCTAACATTTGGTCAACGCAGGAGCCACTTTGGCGGAGCCCGTGGGCCCCGGGCAAACCCCGCACATCACGGGCAGTGCCATGCTTGTCTTTGCGCCCACACGGGAAAGGATTTTAGCGCGACTCATGGATGATCCGTTGGTCAAGGAGAAGATCTGGGATATTGAGAAGGCTCAGATTCATCCATTCTTGCGTCCGAAAAGAACTCCCCTCTGAGACATCTAGTTATTACTATCCAGTCTGGTTGGTTCAAGAGGGAGATATTGCGTGTGCTTAAAAACGCGTACGAGCGAGACAAGTTGGCAATGAAATATCCAATCATCAGTAACAATGGGTTGTGAAGAAATGAACACCAAATCCTTAGAACAAGAGCCTCAGAAACTCGCAGTCCCTTAACATAGACGATTGCATATGTTGAACCCTGTTTGCCTGACTTTTCCCTCATGTCTAGTACTCAATTTCAAGTGATGTTAACGCCCCGCAAGATGATCAACCCAAACTCGTCGCCAGAATTCCCCGAGAAGCTTTGCGCTCTCGGAATCTCCCGCTGGAAGCAACTGGCTCACATAGACAGCCCCAAGCCCACTTTCTCGGTTAACGAACCACCCAATATTTGGCATCCCGTTCCATGTCAGACATTTTGCGGGGAGGTTAGGCGTATCCTCTTTGATTACCATACCACCCAGTCCGAATGCTACTCCGGGGCATCCCGTGTCGTCCCCCGTCAGTTGTTTATGCAAAGCCTATCGGTCCTTCGTGTTAGAGTTTGGGGCGCTTAGCTTGGCTGCTACGCCATGGGGTGGGGAGCTAGGCATACCTCTTGTTTGATCAACCCTTCGTATTGACTGGTGCCTTGATGAAACTGAGGAGTGAACATTTCTGTCATGAAGTCGGCTTTCAGAAGCACTGGACTGTCCTTGAGTAGGTCTGTCAAGACTTTGACGAAGTCTGACGTAGTAGTGATGAGTCCCATCCCACCGGAGGTCTCCTGTGCATCTTCCGGGTAAGGTGAAGGGATGGGGGCCAGCTTTCCCTCACCGGTTCGTACATACATTTGAGCTAGTAGTTTCTGCATATCCGGTCTTTCTGTTATGTGAAGTGTTGTGTTCGTAAGACCAAGAGGTCTGAACACATGCTCTTCCATGTAAGTTGCCAGCTTCATATTGCTCAACCTCTCCACAAGCACCCCAGCCCAGTCCAAACTAGCACCATAGACCCAGCTAGTTCCAGGCTCAAACAAAAGGGGAAGTGAAAAAGCTTCGATGGTTCTCCCGCTCATCACTAGGGGCTGTTCGCCTCTTGATTTTCGCCATGCTACGAGCAGTGGATGCATGGCGTCATAAGATATGCCGCTGGTGTGGGTCAGCAAATGCCTAACCGTTATTTTGTTCTTGGCTCTTTCGAGCCTGAAGGATGTAGTAGAGTCCGGCAATATGATTTCGGGGTCCTTAAGCTCGGGCAGTATCGTTTCAACCTCGTCATCGAGACCTATCATTTTCTTCTCGACGCATTGCAGTACAGAGATTGTTGTAATCAGCTTTGTGCAAGAGAATCCGCGAAAAGCATCATCAAGAGTGATTTGCTCTTTGACGTCTGCCCTCTTGATCCCATGGCATTGGCTGTAGAGAATCTCTGTATCGTCTATTAATGAGAAGTCCCTCAGTCTTTCTTAGTGGCGGGGTCAACTCGCCATGTTTGTTGAATGCAGCCAGAGCAACACCGGGAAGACTCGGTGAGGCTCCTTTTGTCAAAGATACCAGGCTTTCCTCGCAACTGAGCTTCATCTTCAAGTGATCAATAGTTTGCACTGCCGAGAAAAGAGTTGATGGTGTACAGAGATTCAATCGCAGTAGGCTGATTGTCTGAAGGACTGCTGGGTTGATCATTCGTCGAACGTGCTCTAGAAGACTACTTTTTCATAAGCCTGTGACTGATTTTGACGGTCACATATTTGCTCTCTTTGCATCTCTGAGATTCTTAATGTGGTGTCCTGACTTCAAGTGGGGCTGGAAGTCAAAAGCTTTACCCGGCGACTTCGGCCGACTACCTCAGCTACCACTTCAATCTGACTTCTCTGGGCGCTGCCTAAGTACCCAATGGCAGGCCTTGAATCGTTTTCGGCCGGGTCTCCGGGTCCTGGTTTTTTCTAAGCCAAGTTGGCATCTACTTCTCATCTTCAGTCCGAAGCCCTTCTTTCCTGTTGACGCACGAATGCCTACCATCTTCGCCCGACAACATGTCAGACAACATCGAAACGTCTTCAAAGCAACAGTCGACTACCGACGGACAGTCGACAACTGCTTCTGCTGCTCCTCCCAAACAACCAAGTAATGCAGGGAGAAAACGGCGTTCGTGTCTTTTGTGTAGCAAACGGAAGGTCAAGTGCGACAAGCAGAAGCCATGTCGGAATTGCGTCAAATACGGGGGTGAATGCGTATTCCCTGCCGCTAAGACAAGCCAGACACAGATGGTTATGACACCTGAGCTAGTGGAAATGCTTCAAAGACTAGAGAAAGTTGTTCAAACTTTGGAGCCGAAAGATGGAGACAGGCAGGATCCCGTAGATCCTCAGCAAGCCCACAAAAACAATGATGAAGGTGACCGAGAACGACCTCAGTCTCCGATTCCTTCGCCTTTGGCTGAAGACCTCGGCGCTACGGACTTGGGATCTTTCGGTCCGACGATTGGCCCAGGAGTCCAAATAGGTCGTTCAAACCCACCCAGTGCCGAGTTGCAAAGTGTAACATCAAGCCATGGTGGCAGTGATGGCAGGATTGTTCGCGATGCCGGGAGGGACACCTATGTAAGACGATGGTTTTGGGAGGATTGTAAAAGTGAAGTCAGATAATGCACAACATCAAACCGTATCCTCGGCTAATGATAAGTAGATCAGCAGCGGCTCTGCGACAGACGAAGATCGCTCAGACGATGATGACTTCGAAGATACCGCTTCTAATCCTTTCGCCAATTGGTGCTCGAAGAAACCGGAAAGTTTGAGTTTAGATAACGAAACTACGAGCTCAAAGAGAAGGATTCTTTCTATAATTGGCGATCAAAAACTGCACTTGTGGGGCATTTACAAAGAAAGAGTTGAGCCGCTGACCAAGTTGCTCCATTTGCCGTCGCTGGAGCAGGCAGTGACCGGGCATCGCTTGGTGGACTTCGAAGACGGCACCCGTTGTATCATGCTGTCAATCTACTACGGCGCGGTAACAAGTCTGGGCGAAGAAGAGTGCGGCCAGCTCTTTCAAAGCAGACAAGCCCTGGTCCTGTCCGTCCTGCGGGACGAGGTAGAAGCAATGCTTTCGAAGGCCATGCTGATCCACACCGGGGATATCCAACCGTTGCAGGCATTAGTATTGTACCTCATCTTCCTGCGACATCATGAACCTCGGCTCTCCTGGAACCTTTCGGGGTTGGCCGTTAGACTTGCTCAGAATTTCGGCATTCATAGGGAGGGCAGTCTGTTCGGACTCTCAACATTCGACATCGAAATGCGACGCCGCCTTTGGTGGCAAATTGCAGTTCTGGACGCTCCATCGGCCGAGGACTATTCGGGTGAATACAATTTGTAATACTTAAGACTTTCGCAGGCGCCCAGTAGAATAATTCGTTGACTTCTCCACAGACTCGAGATGAGTAGTTTCGATAGCCAGCCACCGCGGAATCTCAACGACATACAGCTGTATCCGGCAATGCTCGAGTATCCATCCGAAACTAGAGGCATCACGGAGATGACGTTTACATTAGCCCGATGCCAAATCACGAGCATGTACCGTTGCATGGCGGACTCGAGAAGGCACTGTGAAAACATGAGCAAGAGCTATGCCGAAATGTCACAGCAAGAGCGCAACGATTGGATCGACTTTTGTGAGCAAGAGTTTTCTCAAAAGTTCCTTCAAAATTACTCGGCGACAAACGCTCTGCATTGGGTAAGTTTTCGGTTGTTCACGTCTGCCACCGCTTAGTATGAGCGTGAAGCTGAAGCACTTAGTGTTGACCAAACCCATCACAGGTTACCATGGTCCTGACGAGAATGCTATTTCACAAAGTTAGGCTGCATGGCATCAACCCACATGTGGACTCGAAAGATATAACAGAGCCAACCCGCAAGCGATTATTCGCCGTCGCTGTCGAAGTCATAGAACTCAACTGCAAACTTCGGACTGATCCCCGAACGCGTCCTTGGCTTTGGCTTTTCAGCTCCTACACTCAGTGGCATGCATTCTCTCTGGTCCTTCACTGGCTTCGAACGGACCCTCTTTGCAAGGGATCCCGGCGAGCATGGCAGGCAATTGAAAAAGCCACCGTGTTGAGGTGGGAGCATCCTCCCTCATTGTTGAGCGGTCAAAAGCCGCAACAATGGCGGTCTGTTCTCAGACAGCTGGGAAAGGCAAGATCTGCTCGACAAGAGGCTTTGGATACAAGAGGAAGAAGGGGTTCACGTACGGCTTCAGAAAAGACTGGGCAACCCTCGGCATTTTCACTAGCATCGACAACATCTCATGCTCCATCCTCTTCAGGCAGTTCGCTTCCGAAGCCTTCCCATTCCTATGATTCCTTGCTCTCAAGCAGCTCCCGGCATCAACACCAAGTTCAGACCCCGGAGGTGGTCCGAACAAATGCTCCGGGTCCTTTAACACCTCCCATCACCACTACGGACGTCTCTCTGCAACGGGATCTGAGAACGCCAGAACAAGGAAATTCACAGAACACACACAGCGTCAACGGCTATCAGTTTGACGAGATTGGTGGTGTGTTGCCGCACCCGGACCTGATGATGATCGATGAAACGACGTTCTCGGCCGAAGAATTTCAGGATCTTCAGGGCTTTTCTTTTCTTGAAAACTATTCTCTGGATTAATTAGAGCCGAGAATAATTTTGTCAGGCTGAGTGTGATCTGCACCTCGTGCTGCCAATCATGATGACTTAATGAACACCATCACGTACTAGGCACTAATGATGCACGTATCTTGAGTTGCCACTTGCTTCATATGAACCAAAATCAAGTATCGAAAGATAAGTGTGCTGTTTCTAAACCAAGTAGTTCTCATGCTCTCGAGTGCACAACATTTAACCAGCGGAAACCCCATTCGGCTGTTCTGATCCATTCTCTAACATGTTCACCTTTTTGTGAATCGCGCTGTTTCCTTCTAGCCCTGCGTGCGTAGCCTCATCCATTCCCGGGATAATCATCTCAAAAGTTTCTCGCACGACCGTATACTGAAAGTAGCCGCAGCGAGCAATGGGCTGTGTCTTGCTGACGTCGAGCTTGCCATCGGTCAAGACATCATCTCGAATATGTACTCCGATGACTCTCCCAATGACGACATCGACAGTTCCCATGGGAGGGTTTGCGGGTAGCCTGAGAGTGGTATGATATACACATTCAAACTTGACTGGACTATCCTTGACCATGGGCACAGGATGTCCTGGCAGCGCGCGACTGTATTCCTTTTGCAAACCTGCGCGGTCGAACTCGTCCACTCCGTAGTCAACCTGCTCAGCCGAGATGTTTACAGCTTCACGCAAGGGCCAAGTAGCTAGGTTCCAGCAGAACTTGCCGGTCAGCTCCGCGTTGAGAACCGTATCCTTTCTTTGCTGGTCCGGTTTTTGATTGGCCGAGAACATAACATAGGGTGGATCGAATGTGAGGTTATTGAACTGAGAATAGGGTGCCAGGTTGTGCGTCTTCGGATCCGTTGCTGAGATGGTCGATATCCAGCCAATTGGCCGAGGAACAACGCATGCCTTGAACGGATCATGGGGAAGGTTGTGAGGTATTCCTCCCGACTGACTGCCCGGCTCAAAGTACATGATGATGGAACTCGAGAAGATACCGTATGCTTTTTTGGTTGAGATATGTTTGAATTTAGATGAGAAATCGATTTAGATGGCGAGGTCAAGTAGCTCACATCAAAAGAGCTGAGAGTATCAATCAGTGGCTCTACAGACTATCATGTCTGTATTTACGTTCAGAAAAGAAAACCCTCGCAACGTACGGCAATTAGAATGCTTTGACACACAATTCTCAACAACCAGAGTTGCTGCCCGGGTAAGGGTGTGAGGGGGGTAGCGTCGGGCCCACGTCCACCGAGCCGGGCCAGAGCGGACATGAGCCAGGCAAGTGGAAAACACGGCCGATGAGATTGAGCTTTGCATCCGCAAACACGGAGCTCGGGTTTTCCCCCGTTGTCAAGCAAACCAAAACACGCATTTGAGATTCGTGCGTTATGTGCAAGCTTTGGGCATCTGAAATGAAATGGAGTTACCATGGTGATGCGAAGAATGCATATAACGTCACGACATCTCCAATTCTTCTGCTGAACTTTCAACGTGCGGCCAAACGTGTAAGAAAACTAACTGTTGAGGCACACAAATACTATACAACCTTTTCTCAATCCCGACATTTCTTCCAAGCTCTTTCACCATGGATGTAGAGGATGATGTCGAGCTCGGTCCCGGGCGCGATATTCCAACGGACGGAATTCCAGTCAACTTCGTCCCTGCCAAAGCCGGGGACGTCATCAAGCTAGGACTCATCACTTGCCGCGTCTTGGAAGATGGATCCCGCACAGGTGAGCTACCACTGAATGATATCCGCAGTTATACTCGCAATAAGGGTGTAAATTTGGTTTCATGAAGTGAGAGCTAACCGTATCTGTGCTTGCAGACAATCGTATCGGGGCCGCCGAGTTCACTCTCCCTCCCGGCTTGAAAGGACCGCCAGCCCATTGGCACGAGATGCATGACGAGACATTTTTGACGACCAAAGGCACCATTCGATACCACATCCCAAAGCCTGATGGCACCGAGGACACCATCGACGCGAAAGAAGGCGACTATGTCACGGTCCCTGTTCGGGCACCGCATACGTTCAGCAACCCGACTGACGAGGAGGCCAAGTTTTTCAACACATACACTCCGGCATACTACATCAATTACTTCAAGCTATTGGGAACATACGTACAAGAGGGGAAGCCAATCTCGCCGAAGGAGCATTTGGATGCGATGTCGAACTACGCAACTCTTCCTGTGCCGAAGAAATACTCCCAGAAAAAAAAACAGATTTAGGGGACCGCATTTGTGATGCTGTATACACATTCCAGGAATCTGGATTGTTGTACTTAGTAAACCCCGCAGGCTCTGATCACACAAGAACCTTGGTAATTGAAACTATCACTACCATGGTATAACCATACGTTCCTGGTTTGCCACATTCCACACAGACCTGTTGACTTGCGAGTGACTTAATATGCCTACATTTCACACTGAGATCCTTCCTTTTTTCACAGTGTTGGCCGTCATATTCCACCTCAAAATCCCGGTGAAGAGGGGTTGGGCGGGGTGGTCGTAACATTTCGGCCGGCGCGCAGTATGACGCCGGGACTGTTTTCCGGACCCCTCATTGTACCTATATGCATTTACCGAGCTCCCATCACACCCCGGGGGTGTCGTCATGTGTTCGAAGCTGCCAAGCTGGGCCTGGGATAGTGTCAAGATTGACAAGACGCAGCAAGCCATTGGGACTGGGCTATCTAACGATAACGAAATGATACCTTTGGATACGTCTTCGCATTTATATGATGTTCCCACCTCACGTCTGATTCTAGCGTGACGATGACTTGATACTCATTGTAACTCGTATCATACATTGAAGTGAACTTGGAAAATCGAAGCTCGCCGCTACAAGGCCCCTAGATATCTCATCACCATCTACTCTACTCACTCTTTCCTATGCGATTCTCACAAACCTGGTAGACACCATGTTTATTGTCGCCTTACCAGCCATTTTCGTCGTGGTCACTCTGACCTTCGGTGTATTTCACGTACTCGTAGACTACATCCGTATCTTGCGGCTCAGACAACGAATGGCACCTGGGCCGTTCCCGCTACCGCTTTTTGGCAACATCTTCCACATCCCAAGCAGCAGACAGTGGAAGAAGTTTGAAGAATGGTCGCTGAAGTATCAATCTCCCATCATTACAATCTGGGATGGACACACCCCGGTCGTCATTTGTAACGATGCTTGGTCTATGTCTGACCTCTGCGACAAGCGGGCAAACATCTTCTCATCTAGACCTGTAAAGACACTTACCGGAAAGATCTTTGGCCTCAACAAGTTCAATCAAGCGGGGCTTGCATATGGTGAGCAGTGGCGTGTACACCGTCGCTTGACTGTAAGTCGTATCCCTGTTCAGAGTGGTTCTAACAAAGCCTTCCTTCCGCTCGTAATTCTAGCTGCTGACATGAACAAATCGTGCTCCGTAGCACTCTGCTGCCAACGCCCAGGTGGTCCAGGCATATCGTACTTCCCAAGCCAATGAAGCGAAGATATTGATTGAAGACTGTCTGACGAAACCCGATCGATTCGTTGACAGTGCCTTACGCTTTACCGTATCGATTGTATCCATTATTGCCTGGGGCAGACGCATCGGGACTGAATCAGACACAGTCTTGAAGGTAGCTCAAGCATATGTCGGTAGCGCCAACCTCGGCTTCCCAGGAAAGACATACACCGAGGCCATACCTGCTCTTGCTGATATGCCGGCATGGCTGAATCCGCTGCCAAACCAACTCAGGACGCTAGCCCAAACGTCGAACAAGTACTTTTACGCACTTTCCGACGAGGGATCTAACGCGGTACAAGACAACTTCGCCAAGAGACTACTGAAAGAGAAGGAGGAACATGGCCTCAGCAAAGTCGAAATTTCCAACCTCACAGGCAACTTTATCGGCGCCGGGGTTGACACTACCACTAGCACCATGCTGACTTTTGTTCTGGCTATGTGTTTGAATCAAGACGTTCAAAGCAAGGCGCACGAGGAAATCGATCGCATCGTCGGCCGCGATCGTTATCCCGACTGGTCCGACGAAGACAGTCTCCCGTATTTGGCGGCAGTCATCAACGAAACACTCAGATGGCGGCCTGCATTTGCTCTTGGCGGGCCTCCCCATGCACCCACCGAAGATGAAATCTACAACGGCTTCTTCTTTCCGAGGGGAACATCGATCATCGGAAATCTCTACGCCATGCACCGAAACCCGCGGGAATTCCCCCAACCGCATCGATTCTGGCCGGAACGTTTTATGGAAAGTTTTGATGGGCCAGCATATCCTAACAAACGTGGACACAATACCTTTGGATGGGGACGTCGAGTCTGCAGCGGTGAAGCATTGGCCCAACAAAGCTTGTACTTCACCATTGTCTCTCTTCTCTGGGCTTTCGAGATCCGTCCGGGTGTAGACGAAAAGGTGGGCTAGTGCCAAGCTGAGTTTTGTCTTCATCAGGAGCTAATGACTTTTAAACTAGGGCAACGAAGTCGTTTTGGACCCAGATGCGTACACTGTGTCTCAGGTCAACCGTCCACTGCCTTTCAAAGTTCGCTTTCTGGCTCGATCCGAGACGATTGCAACTTTGGCGAGAACTGGTGCGCAAGAGGCGCGCACGCAACTGCGAGCGTATGACGCAATTACCAACGTCACGTTTGAGAGTGCGCAGTCTGTCTCCCTTGACATGCCCATCGCGCAGGCAGAGAAGGGTTCAATCGTTTAGTCCTGACGTCTGGATCGTTCAGTAGAATGTCGAATGATCTGAGACTGAGCCGACTCGGTGAAGTATACACAGGTGTCCAGACGCCTTTGAGATGAGGCAACTGCAGACATTTTGGGTTTGATTGCATTTGGAGACGGTCATTTGTTCCATTGTAGTGACTTTAGCAAGTACTTTATCTACTTCCGTCAGGTCTGCTGACGGACGCTTCTCATTCCACGCCTTGTCTACAACTAGGGCTCGAACGTGAGAAATTCCAGTCAGAACTTTTGAACTTTGACAATTTGCAACTCATATAGGTACGGTCATC